TTTCTCCTCATTAATAGAGGAGAATAAAAATAATCCTAGATTCCTTTTTAATCCAGTTGCCAAATTCACCCAGAGCCATAGCTCTGTTGAACCGTCCATTCCACCTGCTCTTAGCATTAATGATTTTATGGGATTCCTTATAAATAAGATTGATTCTATTAAAATTAACAAAGTTAAAATGGCTAGTATCTTGTTACGTTCACTGAGTCTTAATTGAGTTACGAACTCAGTTGATTAGTATCTCTGTTACTTTTTTGGAGAAGTAACTACTAACTATTTACTTTTTTAAGTAATGTTCCCAACACTGTTAATACAAGAATAACATTTTAATATCCTAACTTTTTAAACCAGTTTTTGTAAGTGTTGATGCTGTAGGCATAGAGGACTTTCCATCATGTCTACAGAGGATCTAGATCAGCCTCTGACTGAAGACACTCTGTTGGTGTTTAACTGTCTGGTGAAGAGGATGCACACTGTTGTCCATAATGTTTCTAATTTTATGAAGACTCCTTCTTTGTGAATCATTGTCAGAGGTTCTAGAGGAGTTCCCAGAACAGAGTGAGCCTGGTAATCAGCTTACTTAGGTTCTTTAAGTCATTTGCTCGGATGCTGTGGAGCCCTCAGTCAGGGACATACCGAGCTCCCTCTAATTTCTGTCAGGCTTAGGAGGAGGCTAGCAAAGTGGCCTTTGTAATCTGCCTCTATTGTTGATGCTAACACCTGTAACTATAGCTCTAAGTTCTGTGATGGGTGCCACAGCTACACCCTCTGGAGGGTACTCAAAGGTTTGTAGAGATTTCCCCAGTCCTCATGTCTTTTGTGCACCTGAAGAGACGGTTCAACCGTGTTGCCTTTGGTTCTCTGTGTTGGGTACTGCAGGATGAGTCAGGGACGTTTGACTGGAGGCAATTTGTTCTTTGTAAAAGTGGAACAAGAGTCTGGTTTACATTGCTGACAGTAAGTCGGCCCAGTTCCTGATGTGATTTAACTCCAGCAGGGCTACTCTCTGCCACTGGTCCTCCATCCATCCATCCATCTTCCTCCGCTT